ATGCTCATAGCTTATGGGCTAATTGGATCAAGTTTTATGTGCTGAAAAAGAGAAGCTTTTGGGCTCTGAACATACCTCAAAATTCATCTTGGACTTGGAGGAAAATGTTGCAGCTAAGTCCATTGCTAGGCATTTCATCAAACACCCTATAGGCAATGGGGAGTCCACTGTGTTCCGGTGCGACGATTGGATGCAATTGAGTCCTCTGTCATGCAGAATTAACAATCTCTCCATCCATACCCACTCTGTAGCTCAATTTGCCAAAGTCAGTGACTTCATCAGAGATGAAAATTGGGTCCTTCCTTCAGCTCTGCTAAGGCAAACCCTTGAACTAAGGTCGATTGACACTTTTGCTCAGCTAGACCTCAACCGTGAAGACCAACCCTAAAAAGCTTTTTGTCCTTTTCCCCTATCCATTCCTTCATCTCTGGTAGTGGTAGCTCTGGAAAACAGGTTATCAACGTTGGACGAAATCTCTTTATTGTACGTACCCCAGTGCCCTAATTTGCAGGTAACGGTCATCTCGAACAGCTTTTTTATTTGTTGGGCTGAGCCTCTCTTGGGTTATGGCATTTCTTTCGGTTGGGCTTGCCCATCGTTACTGTATTTCTCTTCTGTTGGGCCTCCCTCTTATATGTTAGCCCACCTATACATTGTTCTCCGTAGTTTCTTTTTACTTGTTGCACTTAGCATTGGTTTTTTTTTGGTTATTATTGTTTATTTTGTTCTCAATCAGCGTCAATAGTGTCATTTTCTGTGTTGTCATTATTTGTAAGGTAAGTAAAATTTGAGTAAATGAAGTGTGGTGATGAATGCAGTAACTATTTGCGGTTTTTATTGGAAACAAAAATCTATTCCACACCTCTTTCTTGCAAGTGAAATTTTTGACAGCAAATACAATGGGGTATTTAGCTGTTTATATTTCCAACCATATATATATATATATATATTTCCAACCATATGATAATTGATCCATTGTGGAAATTAACTATAATATTACTTTGCTCATTCAAGGAAGGAAGATGATCATTCTCAAAACTGGAAGTTTGAGGATATATATATGTATAGTACTGGTGCTCATGGTATTCTTTCTCAACTGACAAAGTGATTTTGACAGCTCCAATGTTTCTGACATTTATTATTGTAGCCCGAGCATGTATTATTTCCTTCTCCACACAGGCACGTACAACATTCGTTTTCCTTCTTGAATTTTCATAATTCTGGTTTTCTGGAGTTATGTTTCAAAAGTGTGTTTCCATCCTCATCACTCGCTTGTATTGACTGCAAAATATACTAAGCCAATTTGCAAATTACAATTACCACCAAGAGTTAATATCTCCTCAATAATCAATGTAGATGTGTGAGTTATACCAAGATAAATAAATGTAATTATTAATTCAAAAAATCATTACTACCTCTATCTCTAAATAGAAGTCCATGTTTAGAAATTAGAGTTTTTAAAAGGACATACAATTATTGCATTATCCTCTTTTAAAATTATCAAATTGTCCTTTTTAATTTAAATATATATAGTTACAAAGTTTGAAATTTTTTAAAAAGATAAAGAATAATGATGGAAATATAATGAAAAGATGCTTTGACTTTTCAAAGAGGATAACTAATTTGGAACATATAAAAAGAAAAAAATGGACTACTAATTAGGGACAGAAGGAGTACAATTTTGATGTTCTAAGCCGAAATCTCTTAAGGACTGTAACCTAGATAACAAAATACAAAAGTCATGAATTCTTCACATTTAACTTTCAAATTGAAGGAGTACAACTTTGATGTTCTAGGCCGGAATCTCTTAAGGACTGTAACCTAGATAACAAAATACAAAAGTCATGAATTCTTCACATTTAACTTTCAAATTGAGACGTTTTTCAAACCATCTGTGATTAAATATGAATAAATCATAACTCTCGCATGAGATAGAGCTATTCAACCCGCACGGTAACCTCTTTTCTCTCAATGAGAAGGGGTCCAACCCGATATGGACATTTAATGAGTTTATGTACTTTTCTAATTTCCCTTTGCATTTTCTAAGGTGTAGTCAATGCTTCACCTTCCTGGCTTCTTCCATGTATTTTTCAAAAGAATGTAGGAATGTTTAATGCCATACTGCTCATTATGATCCTAGCTGGCAAGGTCATTCCATCTGAGACGCCCTTTGCATTTTCCCTTTGCATTTTCTAGTAGGAATGTTTAATGCCATGTATTTATTTTTTTTTTTTTTCTTAGTATTACTCACATTTGCCTATTCTTTTCACATGTCTTGTTGTCCTGTGCATAAGTAGAACTTCTAGGGATGGCAATTGCACAAATGAATTTGGTGATCTGCTCTGCCCAACCCTATTGTCATAAAATTGTTACATAATACAAGTTAAAAAAAGGACTAAAAAATCACAGAAACTGAATAATAATAATAAAATAAGTCATGATCCCAAAAACTGAAATTTGAAAGATAATAAAGCTTGATTTTGAAGACCATTAGAGACAGCAGTAGGCTGAAGCTTGCCTCTATCAGCCCAAAGAAAATGTTTTGTCCAGGAAATTAAATTGCTCTAGAATGGGACATTCACTCAGTTTCACATTTGTCCTAATGGTCACGAAGGAAGATTGGGTATGGACTATCTACTTGTTAGAACTGCATTTGATGACACAAATTGAGTCGCTTTTTCTGAATTACTGGCTGAATTTTGTTGCTTGTTTTGTACAGCTCTAGGCTCAGGGTCAGGACTCAGGGCCTTTTTTGTACAATTTATAGCTCTAGCTTTTGTTGGATTTAATTTGGTACCATTTTGTTGGCATTATACTGATACGACTTGCTGGAATTATTTTAAAACTCTAAATATTATGTTGATTAGAGAGTGCTGTTGTAGAGTGGTTTCTAAAGTTGAGGGATTTAGGAAGAGGAAAAGGGTGGAAGAGAGAATGCAAGGATCACTTGTACTCACTAATTGGCTAATTAGTCACTAATTTCCTTTATTTTTGTATTTTTTTTACCATTAATTTCCTTAATTGCAACTCTGCACTACTTCCTAGCATCTATAATTAATAACTACTTTCATTAAATTAGACCTTTATAGAATTGCTCCACATGTAGTTCTTCTACATTATAAGTGCATTTCTCAAGGGTTTTACAACCAATTTTTCTGGAAAAGATTTAAGAATGAATTTTAAATATTTTGTTTTTCTACAATTTAAAGAAAAAAATTAATATCAATTCTATTAATAGATTAAATATTAAACTAGCTCTACAGTTTTAATCCATAAATTTAAACCTTAATTTACATCTAGCATTCCAGCCACCCTCTTTATAATTAAATTTAGAGTTGTAGCACTGAAATTATAACATGTGGAAGAAACTCCATTCACCCCAAGTCCTTGCTCCCTGAAGAATGGTGGAGTTACCACAGAATCGCTCTAAAGAAAGGTGAGCAGCACCACCACCACCACCAACAATAATAATAATAATAGTTCTTTGCAGGTATAATTGGCCTCGAGTCGCTTAGGCCAATTTTGGCCTAAATAGCAAGGTTAAAAAGAATATAAAAATGGTGGAGTGGGGGATCTCCATGGAATGGGAAAGCTTCTGCAAGCAGCCAGCCCAAAACTATCAGAGGGCTCAAAACAATTAATCTCTTCTGAAACTAAAATTGGCTGGAACATACATAAACTAGTCTGTCAGAGATTCTTCTTTCATCTCTAATGGGCAATATTCCTGCCCTAGGCAATTTTTAACACCATTTCCCCATATTGTGACCTCTCAAACCTCATTCAGCGGATTCCTTCTACAGCCTTAGTTGTTAAAGGCTCAAGGCTCAAGGCGCACTAAGGCGCCAAAGGCCTTCTGGAGCCTAAGCGCAAGGCGCAGTATAAAGCGCGAGCCTAGTTAAAGTACGGTGCGTGTTTATAATAATGCATTTTTAAACATATATTATTATCTATATTCATAATCAAGCAAGAATTGCAGTTAATGTAGGTAGTGAACTATAAATTTATGATTTTTGTCAAATAATTCATTAGGTTAAACAATATGATATATGATATAGAACCTTTTAATTTAGTATTGTAGTCATTAAGTAAAAAAGAAAATGATATGAATAAATAATTAAAAAATACAAGGTGCTCCTTTTTTGAGCCTGGAGCCTACTAAAAAGTGTGAGCTTGAGGGCTTTATGTGAGCCTGATTGAAGGAGCCTGAGGTGCTTTAGCTGAACCATGAGAAGCCTGGGGCTTTTTTGGAGCCTAGGCGTGCCTTTAGCAACTATGTCTATAACCCAAAAAAAAAAAAAAAAGTTTCAGTCAAACAAACCAAGAAATTTCTCTCCACTTAAAACAAACCATCAAATCTCTCTCAACCTACTCCTCAAGTCTACTGGTATAAGCTTGTATGGTTTTCCCAATCAATTCACAAACATTTTTTTTCTGCTATGGTTAGCTATATCCAAAATAGACACGAAGGATACACTAACTCTGAACTACAATGCATTGTTCTAAAATCACGGGACTGGAATTTAATTCAAGTTTGTTGGTTTGATTGAAATGTAGAAGTTCCGGTTGATACGGGAAATGACTCCAAGTCCAAAATTTCTAGAATGCAATATACATATATAAGTCAATACAGCCTGTTTTCAATTTCTACAATACCAATACTTTCAATAGGTAATTAATTTGTCATCAATCTATTTAGAAAATCCAAAGGTACCGGTCCTTGCGAGTTATGATCTTAGCATTCAGTGTCAATCACATCCCCATGTGAGTGAGACCCACAAATTCAGAGATTATATTAACTTTCGGATTCTTTCAAAATTCAAGAATGCCTTATTCAACACCTATACAAAGAAACTAAAAAAGAAAACTCGACTCTGCAATAGTATACACGTAGAGACCACGTACTCAACAAATATCTTGACTCTGCAATAGTTTTTATTAATCAATCAATCCATATATATATATATAATGGTGCATAATAAGTTTCCAACACTGCATATTAATCCTCCCAATAGAATATGGTTGCCTACAACTCTTGGACCCTTCTTCAATTACCTAACAAGCTTCTCAATTTTTCATTCGTGATCTTCTTTTTCTTCTTTATTATATTAGTTCCTTATGCAACCCCACTCAACTTCAGCTTCCCTACTATCACACAAGACCTTAAGAATGTCAAAATATTCAATTATGGAAGTGCTAATATCTCAGAACAAGGCATCCAACTTACGGGCAGGGACGTGCTCAAAGCTGGTCGAGCCATGTATGGTGAATATCTGCACCTTTGGGACAAGGCTTCTGGAAACCTGGCCGACTTTGACACACATTTCTCCTTTGTCATTGATTCAGAAGGAAGACAAGTTTACGGCGATGGGCTTGTTTTCTTCCTCTTTCCCTTGTTTCCTAATTTCAGTATAATCCTCAGCACAGAAGCTGGTGCTCTTGGTCTTCCAATAGACCGCGCCACAGTAGGTCTTCCAGTCGACCCCTTCATAACAAACGCAAAGACTCCATTTGTTGCTGTGGAGTTCGACACTTACAAGAATCACTGGGATCCCTACAACAAGTCTGACATTCATGTAGGTATCAATGTTAACTCCCTGAGTTCTGTTAAAACTTTAATTTGGTATGGTAATATTACCCACGGGGGAGAAAATGAAGCTCGGATTAGTTATAGTTCTGACTCAAAAATTCTGAGTGTTAGCTTCACTAGTTATTTTGATCATACCATAGTTCAACAAGGTAACCTTAGTTATATTGTTGAGTTCCCAAAAGCCGGCTTGTCAGAATGGGTTGCTGTTGGCTTCTCAGCCTCAACCGGAAAGGGCGACGTCGTCGAAAAACATACCATTAAATCATGGAGTTTCAGTTCAACCGACCCAGCGCCAAAGAAGCAAAACAAAACAGCACTAATGGTGGGACTAAGTGTTGGCTCATGTGTTTTGGTTGGTGGATTGGGTTTGATTGCCATTTTCTTGTGGAAGAAAAGGAGTAGGGGAAAAGAAGAAGATACGGCATTTGTCTTTGATCAATCCATGAATGATGAATTCGAGAAGGGTGTCGGACCAAAGAAGTTTTCCTACGGTGAGTTGGCTCATTCAACAAATAACTTTGCAGAAGAAGAAAAGCTTGGAGAGGGAGGATTTGGTGGAGTCTATAGAGGTTTCTTGAGGGAATTGGACTCTTATGTAGCTGTGAAGAGGGTGTCAAGAGGTTCTAAGCAAGGGCTTAAAGAGTATGCATCAGAAGTTAAGATCATTAGCAGATTGAGGCATAAGAATCTGGTGCAGCTCATTGGTTGGTGCCATGAAAAAAATGAGCTGCTACTCATTTACGAGTTCATGCCAAATGGGAGCTTAGATTCCCATCTTTTTAAAGGAAAAAGCTTATTGACATGGGCAATAAGGTACAAAATTGTGCACGACTTGGCATCTGCTTTGCTCTATCTTCACGAAGAGTGGGAACAATGCGTGCTGCATAGGGATATTAAATCAAGCAATATTATGTTGGACTCAAATTTCAATGCCAAAGTTGGGGATTTTGGGCTAGCTAGGCTTGTTGACCATGAAAAAGGATCTCAAACAACACTTTTGGCAGGGACATTGGGCTACATGGCCCCTGAATGTGTCATCACGGGCAAGTCTAGCAAGGAATCAGATCTGTACAGCTTTGGAATCGTTGCATTGGAAATAGCATGTGGAAGAAAATCCATTGATGCAAGGGCACCAAAAACTCAATCAAGACTGGTGGAGTGGGTTTGGGACCTCTATGGAACAGGAAAGCTTCTTGAAGCGGCAGACCCCAAATTATGTGCAGATTTTGATGAGCAAGAGATCAAATGTTTGATGATTATTGGGCTTTGGTGTGCTCATCCGGATTACAATCTGAGACCTTCAATAAGACAAGCAATTCATGTGCTTAATTTTGAAGCTCCACTTCCCAATCTCCCATCAAAGATGCCTGTACCAACATATTTTGCTCCTAATTCAATGACTACACCTGCATCTTCACTTTACTTATCCTGCAATATCAATGACTCAGAGAGTAGCCAAATCCATTATTCAAGCCATAGTTATAACACCAATTCCTCAAATTTGACCATAGCTTCTCCAGCTTCCTCTCCATCTAAATCACTTCTGCTTACACAGTAAGTTGATCTAAAGAATATCAAGTTCAAGATTGTCATGTAATTGAGGTGTATGAAATCCCTTCATTAGTTTTTCTCTCTTTTTCTTTCCTTGTGTAATTGAGGTGTATTAAGCCCCTTCGTTAGTTTTTCACTCTTGTTCTTTCATTTCTTGAGCAATGCTAAATGTTACTTCAGCTTTCATGCAAATTCTTTATAAAACATTCAAAAAAATTTAAGCATGACTTTATACTAATGGGTGTCCAATTCGGCAAGATTTCCCGTGGGATTGTCCCGAAGTTTTATCGTTTCTTTGTACATAGATCGACCAACGCTGCCATTGAGGCCCTTTTCTTGTTGGGGGTTGGATGACTTGGTTTGAGGTAAATGTTTCTCCTTCATATGATATAATATCATCCATGTTTGGATCAAAATGGTCGAATTTGAAGGTGCTGTTTTTTTATAGGAGGACAGTGGATTACAAAGGTTAATAAATTCATTGGTTAGTCAAGAATATTGCAGTACTCCCAAACAATATCAACAACGGCGACATATATGTTACTATCAAGTGAAAAACTTAATTTCACCCATCTGATAGTCTCTAGATCAAGAGACAAAAGACAAGAATTTGTCAAACTATGTTTTGAAGAGGAAAATTTGATCAGGTAGATCTTATATTTCTCCGGAATTTGTTGATTGTTCCGTACGAGTTTCATGGTTTAATTAGACTCCGAATTATGACCCTTAACAACACCATGATCCACGATAGCTACCCATTAACATAGTTTAAACAATTCACTTGCAAAAATAGAACCCATCTTTCCCCTCTTCCTTGGTCGAGGCCAATTTGTTTCGTGCACAAAGAAAAGTTAGCCATATAATAATGACGTAGAACATGGACTTGTTTACATCTATTCACACAAACAGTATTCGTTCGAGTAGAATATTCTTTCACCATTTTCTTCCTTCTCCGCGATTAAAGGAGAAGGAAGAAAATGGTGAAAGAATATCTACTTATATATACTTTTTGTGGAGAACATATGGGGTCCATAACAATAAAGGAGAAGGAAGAAAATGGTGAAAGAATATCTACTTATATATACTTTTTGTGGAGAACATATGGGGTCCATAACAATAAAGGAGAAGGAAGAAAATGGTGAAAGAATATCTACTCGAAAGAATAGTGTTTGTGTGTGAATAGAGGGTATGTATGGTGAGGCACGTAGTACACATAGCAAGTAGTCCATATGGGGTTTTAGAGTCCACTGCACTGCAGTTTCTTGATATTCCAGTTTTAAGAATGGTAAGATGCCTTCTAACGAAGATCTTCACCATGAATGTAACGCAAGTTATTAGACAAATCATGCTAAATTTTTTAGTTCATGTGTGGTGTGCAATTTTTTATTTTTATTTTTATTTTTCATTTCTTTATTGCTTGATTGCTTTAGGCTTTGTTGGTGTTTGTCATAACAATATATGCTGCAAGTAACGTGACAAGAATTTCAGTAGGAAACAAGTTACATATACACCTAATCACCCCATTGCAAAATGCAAATCTGTATTTTTTTTTAAATATTTGGGGAAGAAAAGTGGTTCGGAAAAGATTCTTGTCCTAAGAGTGGCAAATTGGTAAACAATAAGAGTGACAACATTCATTGCCGAACTTTATTCTCAAGCTACAATTACACAGATTAAAATTCACAAGGAAAATGAGACTAGTAACAGAAATTGAGAACAAGAAGAGAGAGCAACAATAATAAAGTGTAAAGAGTGCGAAGAAGAAGGAGAAGAAGAAAAGGAACACATCACATGCACAATTCAAACTTTTAATCAACACTCTATTTTGTCCTGATCAGAGTTATGCATCACCAGAAGCAGAAGCTGTAGAAGACGAGGTACACTTTGAGGATTTTTTTTTTTTCCTAGATGGTACTCATACACACTTATCTTCTCTGAGACTTGAACCTCTAACCTCTCTTTGGGAAGTAAGAGGCTAATACCGCTAGGCCACACTTGTCTCTTCAGTGTTGCAACTAGCCAACTAGTGCTTGAATATTGGTTTGCTCCATTCTGTTCCACATCATATTATCCTGGCCAAAATTGTGCTTATTATATAGGTAATCCTTTGATTTCACAGTTTCCGAGAGTCTAATCCATTATTAGAGCCATAGTTACGTAACCGATTCCCCAAAGTTTGCCACATCTTCCGCAAGTTCCTCTCAATCTGCATCACTTTTATATACCTATTAATTTTATTGAAAGAATATCAAGTTCAAGGTTGTAATGTAACTTAGGTGCATTGAACCCCTTCATTATCTTTTGTTTCTTTGTTCTTTCATTTCTTAAGTAAGGTAAATGCTTGTTAATTTTCATTCAAACCCTTTATAAATCATTTAAAATATTGGTAGCATGAATTTAAAGTTTAAACTATCAAATGGGTAAACAAAAATGTTTCTTTTTCCCCAGTAAATTAATGTGTATTAAAATAGCCATTACGGTAAACACAGATGTTACGTAATCAGGACACTGACAAATTCAACAAATTGTACTATTCCTTTCGCGACATGTCTTGCTGTCTTGTGTATGATGGGGCACTGCTTCTACCATGATTTTTTCAAAATTTGAGATTCCATGAGTAGACTATCATGGATGGCAATTTGGAAATGAATTGGCTGACCCGCTGCCCAACCTTATTGTCAATTTGTCATGGAATTGTTATATAATACTGAGTACTACAATACATGTTATTAACAGACTAAATCATGTAAACTGAATAATAATAATAATAATAATAATAATAATAATAATAATAAAAGTAGTTACAGCAGTGGACAAGCTAAGGTCTCAAACAACGGATTTGATTGGGCACCGGTTGCATGGCTCAGAGTACCTTCAGAATTTCTAAGCTACCAAGGAATCGAATATCTACAGTTTTGGGATTGTTGCTTTGTAGATAACATGTGGAATCCAACAAGGAAAAGCCAATGACAAGATATTTGTAATTGAGTTAGTGAAGAAGGTATGGAGGCATCATGGTAGCAGAAATGTTCTTGAGGTGGTGGATCCAAGATTCAGCGGAGAATATGATTTGGAACATATGAAGCATTTGATCGTTGTGGGGCTTTGGGGTGCTCCATTGCTAGTCCTGCCAGCAACCATGCTAGTATCCACTTTTATTGCCCCTAGTGGATATGAAGGAGGCCAAGGAAAGCAATAGTTGAACTATGCATAATGCATGCATGTAATGTAGTAGTTGCAATCCTGAAGCTTATATGGAAGATATTGAACAACAATGCTCATAGCTTATGGGCTAATTGGATCAAGTTTTATGTGCTGAAAAAGAGAAGCTTTTGGGTTCTGAACATACCTCAAAATTCATCTTGGACTTGGAGGAAAATGTTGCAGCTAAGTCCATTGCTAGGCATTTCATCAAACACCCTATAGGCAATGGGGAGTCCACTGTGTTCCTGTGCTACAATTGGATGCGATTGAGTCCTCTGTCATGCAGAATTAACAATCTCTCCATACATACCCACTCTGTAGCTCAATTTGCCAAAGTCAGTGACTTCATCAGAGATGAAAATTGGGTCCTTCCTTCAGCTCTGCTAAGGCAAACCGTTGAACTAAGGTCGATTGACACTTTTGCTCAGCTAGACCTCAACCGTGAAGACCAACCCTAAAAAGCTTTTTGTCCTTTTCCCCTATCCATTCCTTCATCTCTGGTAGTGGTAGCTCTGCAAAACAGGTTATCAACGTTGGACGAAATCTCTTTATTGTACGTACCCCAGTGCCCTAATTTTTACGTAACGGTCATCTCGAACAGCTTTTTTATTTGTTGGTCTGAGCCTCTCTCGGGTTATGGCATTTCTTTTTGTTGGGCTTGCCCATGGTTACTGTATTGCTCTTCTTTTGGGCCTCCCTCTTATATGTTAGCCCACCTATACATTGTTCTCCGTAGTTTCTTTTTTTACTCGTTGCATTTAGCATTTGTTTTTTTGGTTATTATTGTTTATTTTGTTCTCAATCAGCATCAATAGTGTCATTTTCTGTGTTATCATTATTTGTAAGGTAAGTAAAATTTGAGTAAATGAAGTGTGGTGATGAATGCAGTAAGTATTTGTGGTTGTTATTGGAAACAAAAATCTATTCCACACCTCTTTCTTGCAAGTGAAATTTTTGACAGCAAATCAATGGGGGTATTTAGCTGTATATATTTCCAACCATATGTGTGATGTCTGTGTAAGTATATGTGTATTGTGTGATGTATATTGAGTAAAAGAAAAAGAGAAAACAAATTAAAATTTTGGTGGGACCCACCACCACACCCAAAAAGGGTTTGAGACCACAATTGGTCTCCATTTTTCTTCTCTCCTGCTGGCCCTTCCTTCTGTCTCTATTTCTTGATTTTTCTTTTTCTTTTTGAACTCAAACTTCATTCTTAGATTACTCCTCCACCTTTTGTCGGATTGAAGTGCCGTTTGAGGCAAAATGAAGCTCGTGTCAAGCTCTACACATCCATACAAGCAATTTTAGATTTTGTGCCCCTTTGGATTTCGAATCTTGAGACCCATTTTTTAGGGTTTTGGTGTAATCTTGAGGTAGGGGCATCTTAATCCACTCTCTTCTTGTTCCATTGTGAGTTATGCTCTTTTGTTGTGCTAGACATTCTAAATTTGAGAATTAATTGCTTCAACGAGGTGTAAGTGATGTTTAGAAAAAATTCATGTCTTAGGGTTATGACTTATCTATGTGAAAAGCATGTATAGATGATGGCTTTGTGGTGTTTTTTTGTGAATTATACCTCTTTTATGTGCTAACATGCTTTACTTGGGGATTAATTGTGTTAATGATTATTTTAATGTTGTCTAGAGAAATGTATGTTTATGCACATGTGATGTATTATGTGAAAAGCTTGCCTATGTGTTGAGTTTATGTCTACTATGTGTAAACTTGCTGAAAGTGATGTATGAGACCATGCTTAATTGTATTCTGCCAAAATTTCACATTGTCATGATATTGAGATTATATGTACATTCTTGGACATGTCATTGGGATGTATGAAATGGGAGAATTTGTCTTGAAATGAAAATGAGGAATTTTTGGGAGATGATAGTTTTTGTGAAATGGTTTTGATAAACCCGGTCGCTGCGGGGTTACCAATGGGCCGAAGGCTAATATAGCCTAGAGGGGATTAGGGAGTCGCCCTAGTGTGGTTGAGCTAGCTGGGCCCCATAATGACGCCGCGGGATTACTAAGGGTCAGGGACACTAGCCAATCCTCCTCTCGTGTCGCGGCGGGGTTACCAAAGGGCGGGCTGTATTAACGTTTGAAAGTGATGGTTTTGAGAATGAAAATGGGGAATGTCATTGACATGCATTGCATTTCATTGCATTGCATTGCATTGTTTATAATTGGAATTGAATTGTATGTTGTATTTGATCTCCTACGTTGTATGATCCTTATCTCCCATTGGCCTATGCTTTGCTTGAATTCACAAGGACACAAGATTTGTGTCTTAAGTGTCACCTACTGAGCATATAGCTCACCCTACTATTTATACATTTTTTTCAGGTCTTGGAAAAGAACCGGTGAACGACAACCCACCTCAAACTTGAGCGATACTAGAAGCTCACTTCTGTGTCTTTTGTATATCTCCCATTATTTTTGCAAAGCACTAAAAGTGTGAAGGTGTATATGTATATTTTGCAAAACTTTGTCATGTAATGTAATTAAGGCATTTGATGATATTTTGAATGTGAATTTGATAACATGTAAACCTTATTGATGAATGGGGAGAGTAATACTAGTTTGAAGTATTATTGAGGTCATTTGATTGTGTATTATCATCTACTATTGCTGTGAATTCGGAATTTGAGCCATGATAGGTTAAAAATGAATTTAAACAGGTTGTGATAGGCCTATTTTTAGGGGAGGTCATGCCGAAATTTTTTTTTTTTTTTTTTTTTTTAAAAAGTATTAGTTTTGAGTCGTTACAATATGATATATATATATATATTCTTGAATAAAGAGAAGAAAAAGTGATCCTACGAACACCGGTGTGTTACCAGTGGAGTAGGCTCCGACGAACAAGTCAGTGTGAATGATAATCTCCCTGGAGAAATCGAGAAATTGAGTTAAGGTTTATTGCGTACCTCAAAACGTTGATTCCCCCGCCTTTTTTATAGGGCTTAGGTTAAGATGTCACGTAGAATAACCTTATTGTAATCTGTAGACTTAATCCTCATCGTAATCTTTAATCCTTATCACAATCTTTAATCATTATCGTAATCTGTAAAGCCTATCTCAATCTGTAATTCTTATCGTAATCTGCAGAGCCTATCTCAATAGTGCGTTAATTTAGTAATCTTCTCTTAATTATGGATATTTAAATTATACATCCATCACCAACCATATGATAATTGATCCATTATGGAAATTAACTATAATATTTACTTTGCTCATTCAAGGAAGGAAGATAATCATTCTCAAAACTGGAAGTTTGAGGACATATATATGTATAGTACTGGTGCTCATGGTATTGTTTCTCAACTTACAAAGTGATTTTGACAGCTCCAATGTTTCTGACATTTATTATTGTATCCCGAGCATGTATTATTTCCTTCTCCACACAGGCACGTACAACATTCGTTTTCCTTCTTGAATTTTCATAATTCTGGTTTTCTGGAGTTATGTTTCAAAAGTGTGTTTCCATCCTCATCACTCGCTTGTATTGACTGCAAAATATACTAAGCCAATTTGCAAATTACAATTACCACCAAGAGTTAATATCTCCTCAATAATCAATGTAGATGTGTGAGTTATACCAAGATAAATAAATGCAATTATCAATTCAAAAAATCATTACTACGTATAACTTTAATGTTCTAGGTCGGAATCCCTTTAGAACTATAACCTAGATAACAAAATACAAAAGTCATTAGTTCTTCAAATTTAACTTTCGAATTGAGATGTTTTCAAACCCGCGTGATTAAATATGAATAAATCATAACTCTCGTCATGAGAGAGCTATTCAACCTAAGCGGTAACCTCTTTTCTCTCAATGAGAAGGGGTCCAATCCCATATGGACATTTAACGAGTTTATGTACTTTTCAAATTTCCCTTTGCATTTTCTAAGGTGTAGTCAATGCTCCACCTTCCTGGCTTCTTCCATGTATTAGAATGTAGAAATTTTTATTGCCATACTGCTAATTATGATCCTAGCTGGCAAGGTCATTCCATCTGAGACGCCCACAAACGCTGAAATTCTGTGTGGTCCAAAGAAATGCTGGTCCAAGCAATGTTCTTCTGCTCCTTCAACAAAGAAAACGCGTATGCAAAAGGATTAAGAAAATATATGGTAGTTATGAAATTCTTTAGCTGATAAAGGAAAAGTATACAAAGACTCATTCAACAAATCTCAAGTCTTGATCCGAAATTACAAATTTATCAATTATATATACACAATTGATATGTGCATATGTAGTAAGCCTACTGATCTGCAAGCTTAATCAAATCATCCAAAAATCTTTCCCATCTTTAGTACTGCATCATGCTCTGCGATTACAGTGCTCTTGTAAAATTACCTAAGCTTCTCTATATTTTCTTCGTGATAACCTTTTTCTTTTTTCTCATTATCCCTCATGCAACTCCACTAGAATTCAACATCCCTGAAATCACAAGCAATGATCTGAACACCAAGATAAAAATCTACCAGAACGCTTATGTCTCATCACAAGGCCTCCAAGTCACCCCAAACGAGCTTGGTGAAGCGCGAGCGCATAAAGTTGGTCGAGCCACGTACATCGAATCTCTGCACCTTTGGGACAATGCATCTCAAAACCTGGCAGACTTTGTCACCCATTTCTCCTTTGTCATGAGTTCAGATGGACTTAAAAACCAAGGCGATGGGCTTGCATTCTTCCTTATTTCCAACGTTTCAGATTTTAATGATGTCCCTGTCACACGAGGAAGTGGCCTTGGTCTTCCAGTCGACAATGTTACAATGAGCTCTTCCACTAATCCATTTGTTGCTGTGGAGTTCGACACTTACAGGAATGGTGCTTTTGATCCATACACCAACACCGGCGCTCATGTAGGTATCAATGTTAACTCTATGAAATCTGTTAACACTTCAATATGGAAAGGTAATATCACTCGAGGGGATGAAAATGAAGCTTGGATTACTTATAATTCTACTTCAAAAACCCTGTGGGTTCGCTTCACTAGTTATTTTAATAATACCAAAGTTCAACAAGGTAACCTTAGTCATGAAGTTGATCTGCGCAAGTACTTAACGGAATGGGTTACTTTTGGCTTCTCAGCCTCAACGGGGGACTCTTTTGAGACGCATACAGTTAAATCATGGAATTTCAGTTCTACAGATCCGGCGCCGGTGACAGCAAGCCCCAAAGGAAACAAGGAAAACAAGACAGCACTAGTGGTGGGATTAAGTGTTGGCTCATGTGTACTTTTGGGTGGTGGATTGTGTTTGATTGCCATTTGCTTGCGGAAGAAAAGGAGTAGAGGAAACGAAGAAGATGCGGAATTTGTCTTTGAACTATCCATGGATGATGAATTCGAGAAGGGTATTGGACCAAAGAAGTTCTCCTACAGTGAATTGGCTCATTCGACTAACAACTTTGATGAGGAAGAAAAGCTTGGAGAGGGAGGGTTTGGTGGGGTTTATAGAGGTTTCTTGAGGGAGTTGGACTCTTATGCTGCTGTGAAGAGGGTGTCAAGAGGTTCTAAGCAAGGGCTTAAAGAGTATGGATCAGAAGTTAAGATCATTAGTAGATTGAGGCATAAGAATCTAGTGCAGCTCATTGGTTGGTGCCACGAAAGGGATGAGCTACTACTCGTTTACGAATTCATGCCAAATGGGAGCTTAGATTCCCATCTTTTCAATGGAAAAAGCTTATTGACATGGGCGATGAGGTACAAAATTGTCCACGGCTTGGCATCTGCTTTACTTTATCTTCAAGAAGAGTGGGAAGAATGCGTGCTGCATAGGGATATTAAATCAAGTAACATTATGTTGGATTCAAATTTTAATGCCAAACTTGGGGATTTTGGGCTAGCCAGGCTTGTTGACCATGAAAAAGGATCGCAAACAACTATTTTGGCAGGGACAATGGGGTACATGGCTCCTGAATGTGTCATTAGGGGCAAGTCTAGTAAGGAATCAGACGTCTACAGCTTTGGAATCGTTGCACTGGAAATAGCATGTGGGAGAAAACCCATTAATCTTCAATCAAGACTGGTGGAGTGGGTTTGGGACCTCTATGGAACAGGAGAGCTTCTTGAAGCAGTAGATCCCAAATTATGTGCCGATTTTGATGAGCAAGAGATCAAATGTTTGATGATTGTTGGGCTTTGGTGTGCTCATCCTGATTACAATCTCAGGCCTTCAATTAGACAGGCAATTCATGTGCTTAATTTTGAAACTCCACTTCCCATTCTCCCATCAAAGATGCCCGTACCAACATATCTTGCCCCTGATCCAGTGAATACACCTGTTTCTTCATTTCCATTATCCTTCGATACCACTGTCTCTGAGAGTAACCAAATCCATTATTCGAGCGACAGTTACAATACTGATTCCTCAAAGCTTACCACGTCTTCTACAATTTCCTCTGCAACTGCATCTCTTTTGCATACACGGTAAGGTGATTTGAAGAATATCAAGTTCATGATTGTCATGTAATTGAGGTCTATTGTATTGGACTTCTGCATTATTTTTTCTCTCTTTTGTTCTTTCGTTTCTTTAGCATGGTAAAAGTTTTTTAATTTTCATATAAACTCTTTGTAAATCATTTCAAATATTGCTAGCATGATTTTAAAGTTTAAATTATCAAATGGGTAAACACAAATGTTACATAAACAAGGCACTGACAAATGCTACAAAATGTATTTATATAGACTTTTTGGAAGCAATGGTTCTGCTATGCTATCATTTCTGTCAAAAACGGAAACACGATTTAGCAACATACATATGTGGTTGAATTTTTGAAAGCAGGAAGCAGACAAATGTTTGGTAACCCAATATATATATATATATATATATATATATATATATACACATACTTACTGACTAAAATTAAAAAGTTGTAAGAATTTGAAAAACCAAAAATACAAGAACCCAAATTTATTTTTGTGTGATAGTATGGCCTGAATTTGGTGCCGGATTGCGACCCACTTATGACCTGGCGACTCGTTGGATTAGATTTGTGTGGGCCCAAGCGACTTGTTTTGCTCATGAGTCATGAACCCTAATTAGTCTATTGTAATCCGATATATAAGGGCGTTTAGGGTTTGGAGTGATTAAGAAAGGCTCTGAAATTTGAACAAAAACAGAGTGAAATGCTGAAAACTTGTAATTTCACCGGATTCCAACTGTAGACGTAAGTTGTTGCTGAACCACCATGTGATAACTCAAATTTTTTAGATTTTAATTTATTTTATGATATTTAGTGATCTTATTTAATTTTAAATTAGAGACTCAGTTTAGTGGATTTGGATTTTTGTTGCATTATATATATTTTTGTGTGTAGCATTTGAAGGAAGCAAGGTGGCTGCCGAAATTTAAATAGGAAAATAATGAGATAGTGTGTTGTTCAAAATAATGATGGATTTTGAATTGTTTTATTGTGACTGTATATATATATATATATATATATATATATATATATTGCACCTGATGCAAAGGCATGCACTTGGGACGAAATTAGAGAAATGAGAAATTTATAAGGTGAGATTTGTGGCGGGTCCCACTGGAATGGTTTAATGGGTTTGATGTTTTGATTGTTTATATATATATATTTTGTGTGGTACTGTGTGATGGCTGAATTGAGGAGTAAAAGCATATATATATCAGATGGAGCAGGTGGCATGTTTGTTTCGTTTTCGTCTCACTTGTGCAGATTTGTCGTTCTTTTTAGGCTAGATCTCTGATTTAGGTTGATTTTGAATTTTTTTTTACTTAAATTTGTTTATTTTCTTTTTAATTAGATCTTATGCGAAATTTTATGTGTTGGAGCGCTTTGAAATTATAATTTTGGAGATTGATGACCAGATTTTGGAGCGGAGCAACCATATATATATATATATATATATATATATAAATAATGTCTGTTTGAACGGTGTGAAAAGTAGAGCTGTGGAATTGAGAGGAAATGAAGTTTAATGGTTTTGTATTGGTGGGCGCACGAGGAGATAATGGAGTTGGAGTTTGTTTTTGTTTCATTAATATATATATATTTTTTTGTTTGCTGAAGAGAGAAGCAAATGTGTTGTTGCCGAGGAAGGAAAGAAAAGATGGAAAGGTAGTGGGTGGGACCCACTTGTAAGCTTTTGGCAACTTTTTAACTTTTGGCAAAATTATTTTCCTTCACGTGGGTTATTTTTATGGCCTTGAACTTCCTCCACATGGGTTGTCTGAGTGATATTTTGTATTGGAAAGTAACGATGAAGATAGAAATGATGAAATTTTGACGGACCAATTTTTTTGACTTGGACTTGTTTTTGCACATGGGTTTGTTGGCTGGTTTCTGTGCGAGTTGGGTGGATTTGTCTTTATATTGGATGTCTTGTCTTGTGAATTTAGTGAACAAATAGTGATAGAAAAATTAGAGAAGTTTGAGAGAGAAAAAAATAGAGCAGCACAGAGAGGGCCCGAGATTAAGGAGCGACAGAGAGTGAGCTGAGAGTCTGCAGAGGAGGTCTTGGAGCCCAAGGCTTTGATGATTCCGTGGGAAATTAATTTTTTTTTTCTCTATATTTTAAATGGCTTGGAATGATTTTGTTTTAATGGTTTTAATTAAATATTTTTATTAAATATTTTAATTAAATATATATGTATTTTGTTTATATTCACATGTATATATTTATTTTGTGAAGTTGTTTTGTTAATTCTTGTTATGATTTTTCTTATTGGGACTTTTTGTCTCACCACCCTGCAGTTTCAAGTACCGAAGAGAGACGGGAATCGTAGATTCGGGTTGAGACTGAAGAGTTGGCATGGAGTATTTATTTTATTAAATTGAAGAATTTTGTATATATTTGAGGAAATTGATTTTGCATAAAAGAGGGTATTTTTTTATAATCCTGGTGTATTTTGATGTATTTTGATTTATATAAAATTAAGAATTTTATTAAAAAATTCGGGTTCGTGACACGCCATTCTTTGTATAGCGTGTTTACTTTTCTATCGTGATTCTTGATTTAACTTGAATTCGTTGCGATTGTTATTACAATTTGAATAATGCTAACATTACATGCTAGATGTTATACATATCATGTATATGCTCCAGTAACTATCCAAAAAAAAGCTGGAGTCTTTTATGAGTATAGGGATCTAGAAGAATGGTAAGCGTCACATTCAAGGTGTACCACATAAGCAAAGAAAATCATATAAGAGATGTAATATTTTACCAACAACCCATTCAATTAAAGTTACTTTAAACACTGTATCAAACGATACTGTTTGGGCTTCAATTTTAAAACAAAAGTTATGATATTGCACAATATTTATACATATGTTTATAGGTAGATAAATTTATGAACAAATCATACCATATTAAGGATATGCATACACTGATCAAACGAAACACACTATCTTTAGAGATTGAGTACACATCAGAAGTTCACAAACTTACTACAGAGCAGATTTGTTCAGATTTGAAACAAAAAAATTACAAAATCTTCAATATTTAGACATCAATGTACAAAAAAAAATAAAAAATAAAATCTATCTTTAATTGGCGAACGAAAAAAAAATAGAGTTGAAAGCTTGTACCTCTGAGCCGACGGTCGTGAAGCTGGATTGTGAATAGGTGTGAGAGGTGCGCACACTTGTGTTCCAAAAATAAAAAAATAATTATTTGCAGGTAGAATGGGCCTCAAGCCGTTTGGGCCGAATTTGGCCTACATAGCAAAAAGGAATTAAGTGGAGTGGGTTGGGTTTCTCCATGAAATGGGAAAGCTTCTTGAAGCAGCCAGCCCAAAATTTTCTGCAGATTCTGATTCTGATATATATGTATTTTTTTTTCCTGCCATTAGACAAACACACACTTTACTTTGCTCATTTTAGATTTGAACCGGGTCACCATCAATTTCACTGTGCCACATGGTCGTTGGTGATTCCAATTCTGATGGGCAAGATTTCAAACAATACTTACGAATTGGTGTGTTGATATCTCCTTCATCAAATTCACCAATTTGAGTTAAATTTCATTATTTCACCAAACCTCTCTCTTATATTTATAAGGTAGATCCATACCTGATTGGTGCAACAGTAACATCAGTCCCGGACCCGGTACGTCACAGCCTAACTCACAAACAAACCAGGAAGCAGCCTCTTGCATCTCTCTAACTTATTTGTTACACTAAACTCTACGTAGTTTAACAAAATAGCAAAACACTTCCTGTATTATTATTTTTTTGGAATCAATTTACCAACTATGCAATATAGACTCTGGGTGGGTGCTGTAAAAGTAGACAAATACTCGTGGTATGAAATAAAAAGAAGACAAAAAAACATTATTTTAAATGTTATACAGATGGTGAACTTTTTCAAATCTATTACCAAGGAAAATGACTAATTTATCAAATTTATTTGTCAGCCAATTGATGAAATAAACATATTTGAGTTTATCCACTAAATTAAATTATAAAATGCCTTCAATTAGACAAATAGGTTATCATCAATTTTAAACTATCTTACTGGTTATTTTAAATAGAGTAGTAATATTTAGTGGAAGAGTTAGACATAATTTCTTACCGAATGGTACACAACTAAACGACCAATTAAAAGTATTTAGTTTAAGATCCCATACTAGCCGGAACTAGACACCTCTATGGATTCCAAGTGACTCGTTGCGTTGACACGCCTCTACCTTCGGCACAGAGGCTTGAGGAGCCGTCGTCAACAAAGATGTTGACCAACTGGACGCCGCAGCAGAGGTCGCCCTATAAGAGGGTATCCCCACCCCCCACATTGTCATCATCTTGGGCAGACGAGGGAGCCTCTCTACCAGAGCATGAATAACCAAATCATTGGCACCCTCCCTTTTGTCAAAGGTCCAATTCCTTTTAAAATGTAATTTTTGCTCTTCTTGTTTTTATTTTTTTTAGATATAAAAAAATGTTGAAATTCAAAAAAAAATCTGCACAAGACTGAAATAAGAGCCCTCATACGTAGTAACTTTTATTGGCTCAAAAAAGTTGATTTTCATTTTTTTGCTAAAAAAAAAATAATAATAATAATAATAATAATAATATAATTATTATTTTATTTTATTGGAGAGCCAAAACCCCTATGGCACTTTGGCTATCAAAAATTTGGAGAGCACAAAAGGGCTGCTCAACCATTTGAGAGGGTGAGATTCCCAATGCTCTATTTTCTTCTACTAGACATGGCTTCTTCATACTCACAGATAATGCCATCACCGGTTCTCTTAGCCTTCGTCAAGAGTCTCCTCCGGTCACGGGAGGTCGGTTGGCCACCGTGGTGTGGCTTTGGGGCGTTTTTTCCCTACAGAACTGAGGATAATCCGTCTTGTTGATGTTTCAATTGAGACTGTTAGTGACAATCAGGTAGACTGCAACCATTTTTACTTCAGTTAATTTATTGGTCTGATTGTTTGTGGCAATGCAAGATCCAGAGTTTGTGTGCCACAATCGTATCCGAATTTTACAAAAAGAATCTTCATCAAAGAAGTTTTTTCTTTTATAATTATTGTAAATATTTTATCTTTCTGACACACTGTTGAAGCAATGTACCCCAGAAAGCCTGTTATCTT